TTGCCCCTTTGCCTTTTGGCTAAGATCAAATGTAGTGTCTTTTTTTTTTTTTATCATCAACTTATTGTAAGGCTTGAGCCTGTGGCTTCACACACTCTAAGCATGCACTCTGTCACTGAGCCTACACCCTGAGCTCCATTACCTGTATATATGAAATACCCTTGTAGTCTGGAATAAAGCTGAAAATAGCACCCTGCAAAAGATGGGGAGAGTACAGTGTTGCTCAAGTGTGAGTCCTCAAGTGTGAGTCCGGAGTTTGATTCTGGCCCACCACTCCATCTGTGATTCAGGAAATGCTTTTCCTGTTCTGCCCCAGCTGTCCCATCTACAAAATGTAGTGTGCCTACCTTATTTTTTTTTTCTGTGCAAAAATTGGAACTGTTTTATAACATGACTTGAGGAAAGCTCTGACAACTTCCATTGCTATGGCTAAGCTAAGGGAGGGTAGCTATGTCTGCTTCTTCTTTCCCACAGTGCTGGACACATGGTAAGAACCTATAAATATTTGTGAATAGGATCGAGCACCCTGGATTGTGTGACCTTCCCCCACTAAAGTGAGAAAGCTGACATGAACTGATACTGCTTCTGTCTTAGGCTTAGTATCTGAAAATACTTATAAGCCATAATTCATATGCATGAATCTGTTTCTCTTCAGAAAGTGGCTTTGGAAGCTGCTGAAAACCAGTTGCAACTAGAAAGGAACGAGTTCCACCAGACAGTCCAGGGATTTGTAGCCTAACAATCACCCCTGCCTCCTCCTATTACTAAAACAGGTAAAAGTTTGAAGGTGGAGGTTTTTGTCCCACCTGGTCTGGCAGACATTTAGCCCCGAATAAACACACTGACACTCTATTAATTATTAAGCTTTTTGACTGATAGCTGGGACTTCTTAGAAACTAGCTCTCTCTTAATTATTAACCCATTTCTATCTATTTATGTATTTTCACTTGGTCTTGGCTTACCAGAGAATTCCCGTACCTGTTGCTCCTTTGGTGGCTACATGGTGTCTCTAGGCTGCTTCTCCCTGTCTTCCTCTCCCCAGCCTTCTCCTGGTCTTGTGGCCCCACCGGTCTACCTGCCTGGCTACTGACCAATCAGTGTTTTAGTCATCAACCAATAAGAGAAACATATACAGAAGGATATCCTCCATCAGAAGTTCAACTGAAAAGCGCTTGTGTCCTGAAATGGCAAAATCAGTAGATTTGCACGTGGACTTGACATCTTTTTTAACCAGTTCTCAAACGAAATTTGCGTTAGACTCTACTGCCTAAAAATTATTTTCTATTTCTAGCTTTGTTCTTGGTGTCCATTGATGCCTTAGATCCTTGTAGAGTCCACAGTGTTCCTCTTAGGAATAAGGCCACTCTCGGTCCTCTTCTGGTATTCTTCCATTGGGCTGGTCATGTCATTATCAGCATAATCATCTGTAATTAACTGACAATCCCAAGAGAAAGGATCAAGGCTAGAAAGAGCCTTTCTCTATGGTAATTCACACCTGTACACTTTGAAAGTTGAGAGACCCTCCTTGTGTGCCTCAGCGATCAATGGCTGGATTGAAGGAGGCAGGAGGTGGTTTTAAAACAATTTAGACACATTTATGTTTTATTTCCCCGTAAATCCGTGATAATAAGTTCTAGTTATTGATAGTGGCTCCCTGGAGCTGTGTTGAGAATATGATGTTTTGAGCAGGAAAGGGAAGGAGGAGCTGGAAATCCATGACTGATGAGCTGCTTTTGGTATGGACAGGCAAGGGAGATTAGGACGGGAAAGGGAAACACTGGTGTATAGTGACTGATGGCCTGCTTTGAATGTTGCTAGTGCTACTGCCCCTAACTTGATTTATCCATGCAAAATGACTCACTCAACCTGGCTGCCCAAAGCAGAGGGCTTGAATGTCATGTAATCAGTGCAGAAATGATCCTCTCACAGTTTGCACTGAGGAATGACCCGGCACAGCAGCACTTCCCTAGTCAAATGTGATGCTGTGTTTGCGGAGCCTCATAAACTAATGCTTTAGTGACTCTGTTTCAGAACTATAGTTGCAAAACCGTGGTAAAGACAGAGCTAAACCTTCTAAAGGGTGGGGTTTTAGATGGTTATCCGTGATCATGTGTATCTATGTGTCTGTGGATACTGTTACTGGAAAAGATGGGTCACTTTAGCCCTAAGAGTCTATGGCTTAGTTGATCAACCTTCATTTTACTGTATGATTGGCTATTCATAAACATGCAAGATCATAAGGCACATCTATGACCCTACATGACCTTTTTGTATCTGTTGTGTGCACATGTGTACCTATTTATGCCTTATGAAATTTAGTATTAATGCAAAATAAATTTAAGTATTTTAAAATTAATTTTCATTTAAATTAGACACAATCTTATTTTACATGCCAATCCCAGTTCTCGATCCCTCCTGTTCTTCCAACCCTCTCCACCAACCCCCATCTACTCCCCAGGGAGGGTGAGGTCTCCCATGGGGGATTATCGAAGTCTGTCACATCATTTGGGGCAGGGCCTAGGTCCTCCCCTGTGTATCTAGGCTGAGAGAGTATCCCTGACCAGGAGAAGTTTCTTGTGTGTGTGTGTGTGTGTGTGTGTGTGTGTGTGTGTGTGTAGACTAGCAAAAGTATCGTGTGTGTGTGTGTGTGTGTGTGTGTGTGTGTGTGTGTGTGCTCTCTCCACCAACCCCCATCCACTCCCCAGGGAGGGTGAGGTCTCCCATGGGGGATTATCAAAGTCTGTCACATCATTTGGGGCAGGGCCTAGGCCCTCCCCTGTGTATCTAGGCTGAGAGAGTATCCCTCCATAGGGAATGGGCTCCCAAAGCCCATTTATGAACTCAGGGTATATACTGGTTCTACTGTCAGAGGCCCCATAGACTGTCCTGGCCTCCCAATTGACACACATGTTCCTGAGGCCTGCTTTGCTGGTTTCCCAGCTGTCAGACTTGGGTCTGTGTGCTCCCACTTGTTCAGGTCAGCTGTTTCTGAGGGTTTCCCCAGCATGGTCATGACCCCTTTGGTCATCACTCCTCCCTCTCTACAACTGGATTCCAGGAGTTTGGCTTATTATTAACACAGAATAACTTTAAGTATTTTTTGATAACAGAAGAATCTGATGGCCTCTCTGAGAGAAAGTGAGAGTGGAGAACAGGACTGACAGGATGAAAGAAGGGCAGTGTGACATTTCTGAAGTAACAGAGACAAGAATGGATTCCTGAATATGGGCAAAATCTACCCTGAGGTTGGAGAGATGGCTCAGTGGTGAAGAGCATTGGTTACTTTTCCAGAGGACCTGGGTTTGGTTTCCAGCACCCACGTGGCAATCAGCAACCAACCATCTGTAACTCCGTTTGCAGGAGATCTGATGTGCTTGTGGCCTCTGTGGCACCAGGCATGCACATGGTGCATATACATACCATGCAGGCAAACACTCACACACATAAAAATAAAAATAAATAAATCTTTTTTTATTTATTATGTATACAGTTATCTGCATGTATGCTTGCACACCAGAAAAGGGCACCAGATCTCATTACAGATGGTTGTGAGCCACCATGTGGTTGCTGGGAACTGAATTCGGGTCCTCTGGAAGAGCAGTCAGTGCTTTTAACCTCTGAGCCATCTCTCCAGCCCCAATAAATAAATCTTTAAAAATATAGTCTTCCTCTTTCTAAACCACCCTATAATATCTAGGAAAAAAAAAAAAACTCAGAGTGCAGTTTTATTTTATGCTGCCTAAAATTTTAATAGAAAAGCTGATTACTGGGCAATAAAGTCTAGACTTTTGTCACTTTTAAGCCCAAACTAAATTTTAACTTGTCAACCTATTCATTACTTTCTAGTTAATAGGAACAAACTTAATGGAGGGAGGATTCATTTTGGCTCATTGTTTGGGAGAATACGGTCCATCGTGGCAGGAAAGGCATGGCAGCTAGTGATTCCATGGTGGCTGGACCCTGCTGCTTGTTACATGGAGCCAGCCAGGAGGCAGAGAGAGCTGCTGGACCTAGGAGAGCTTGTCAACCCATAAGGCCTGCCCTTCAGTGACTCACCTAGCTAGGCCCCACTTCTCAAAAGCACCATGTCTCCCTAAAGAGTGCTGCTACATAAGCCTGTAAAAGGCAGTTCAGCAGCACTTGTGAGGCAGAGGCAGGCGGATCTCTAAGTTCGAGGCCAGCCTGGTCTCCAGAGCGAGTGGCAGGGGAGGGTCCCAAACCAAACCAAGAAACACAGTCTCCAGAAACAAAAAAAAAAAAAAAAAAAAAAAAAGAAAGAAAGAAAGAAAGAAAGAAAAAAGGCAGTTCAGGTTCAAACTGTAACAGCCAAGTAGGTAAGAACTGTGTGTCTGCTCAAATTTTGTATGCTGCCTGCCTAAGTAAGCAAGGTGTTTTCTGGTTATCATTACCTCCTACATCTCCTTGGGGAAACTGAAAAGGATGATAGTGTCTCACAGATGGTGGTTTTCTCCCAAGATAAACAGGTTTGTTCACCCAGAGCTTCTGTAGAAACTGGAATGTTAAAAAATAATTAAACTCAGAATAGCTCCAGAAAGACTGCGGGGTGGGGGTTACAAATCAAAACAAAACCATCCAGAGATTTGGAGTGTCTTGCTCAAGTAGTTTGCCTGCATCTTTGTAAATGTATGTGTATAGAAGGAAAACCCAGGTTCTAAATTGACCTCTTCCTTCCACCTTGGGGTGATTTATCTCCTGGCAGGCAAACACCCTTCTGTGAGCATCTGCAGTCTCTAATCAAAGCAAGTCTGTATCCTGGTATTGAAAGCAGAAAGGTGGCCTGTGCAACTCTTTCGTTATAATGATGGTGATATTCCAGCTCTTTTATTTAAGGGAAAGTTTCTTGGGTGCTACTCTCTTAATTGAACCCAATTTACATTTGAATTTATTCTGTTAACATTTTCGGCATCTGTTGCAAAATTTAGGACTCCCTGAGTCCATTCAACTATTAGGAGTTACAGTCACTGAATAGACTCAGTGAGCCAGAGACTTCCTCAAAATGTCACCCCACAGTGGGACAGTGAGAGATGATTTCCGCAAGGAAAAGAATCTACTGAGAACCCTGTCAACCTGAGAGCGGTCCCCGGGACTCACATGGGTGGAAGCAGAGAAGTGACTCCTCTCACCTCCCCATGCATGTGTGACAAGGGTCACCCCCCATACAAAAGAAATAAATGTAATAAAAGAGATACATCCACTCTGGAAAAGGCTCTGGAGGCACAGCTGTAATACCCAAAACCAAGGTCTATCTCCATGCTTAGAGTTAACAGGAGCACCCAGGATGGAGGGCAGTGAGGGGAAAGTTGCAAATGCAGGTGATATTTGAAAGACTTGTTCAGGTAGGCTCTGTCGGTCAATGGCTAATACAGGAGTCAGAGATCAGCTTGCTGTATGTTACCAGTTCCTTTGCCTCAGTTTGAACAGTGTCATTTGCACGCGATATACCTGGCCAGAAGCCATTAGGCAATTGGCAGCTGTCTCTTCCCGCTCTTGCATGTCTTGCGTGTTGGTAGAGGGAAGCCCCACGGTTTGAATCGACCTTTGCATTCCACCTTGGGAGGGTTTTATTGCCTGGCAGATGAAGGCCTTTTTCTGAGCATCTGTAGTCTATAATCATCAGTTTTTATGCAAGTACATATCCTGGAGAATGAGCCCAAAGAGAAACAGTCTGTGCTGCATCGGGCAGATCTCGCAGCAAAATGGCAGAATAGTTATCATTCTTCTACCATCTGTGGCATCATGATGAAAACAGCAGATTCACGGTGTCTGGTGCCAAACTGCTCTCAGTGTTTCTACCTGACTAGCCAGAGGACGTTGTTTTGTTCCTGCTCCACTCTGGCATATTTGTTTACAGCTTCTCTCTGCATAATTATTGCTCTTCCAGTCTGAAGACAGTAGCCTCTAGAAAAGAATTTAGCAGTACTGCTTCTGGGGACTGTTGATAAGTAGCATGTCTTGGGAAATTCAGATTTCCCTTTCCGTTTAAATACATACGCGTATTTCTAATTCACACTTCATTTATTGTGTATTGTTTACTTTCTTACTCTATCTTCTGTCCACATTTAGAAAGTTTCCAATAATGATCTTCCAGAAACCACTTCCCTCAGAAATTGAAACATTCCTCGCATCATAGCTCAGCAATTCCTCTGCTCAGTATTTACCCAAGAGAAATGATAACAAATGTCTGCGTAAACATTTGCTCACAAATGTTCATTGCCAGGAGTATTGATAATAGCCCAAATATGGAAACAACCGAAGTGCTCACCCATTGATGAACAGATAAGCAAAATGTGAAATAGCTGTGTAATAGAGCATTATCTGGGAGGGAAAGTAGAATTGGGCGTGGGGCATGAGGAAAATGCTTCAGTACATTCAGTGCTTGCACTGCAGATGTGGGGGGGTCCCCAGAACCAATCTAATGGCAGGCAGGCATGGCAGGCCCCCTAACCTCTGTGTTCCCTCCAGAGGCAGAGGCAGAGACCCTGGGGGCAAGCTGGCTAGCTATACTAGATGAAACTGCAAGTTCTTGGGTCAGCAAGAGCCCTGGCCTCTGTTAATAAAGTGGATAGTGATTGAGGAAGACAACCAATGTCAGCCTCTAGCTTCCACCCACATGTGCCTACCCACACTCAAAGTGCATAAGCCCCCACACATCATATGCATATACATGCCAAAAAAGAGATGCCTGTATCTGTGTATGCAGATTGAAAATACTTTTTGCTAAGTAAAAGGAGTCCGATACAAAAGCCATATTCATACAGTATCATTCACAGAAATGTCTAGGATAGGCAAATTCATTGACACATAAAGTAAATATGTGGTTTTCTGGGGCTGGGGGAGGATGGGATTAATGGAAATCGAAAGGACTGTTCATAGGTCTGAGTTTCCTTGAGGGCACCAAAAGTGTTCTAAAAATAGGTCATGAACGAGGTTCTTGGCACTTGCCTGCATTTTTAGCACTCAGGATGCTGAGGCAGCAAGATTGAGAATTTGAGGCCAGCCTGGGCTATAGTCAAGACCCTATCTTTAAAACAAACATTAGCAAAAATGTCATGATGTTTCCAAAACCCCGAGGACATTAAAAGAACACACTGAACCATATTCTTTAAATGGGTGCATTTTGTGGAATGTGCCATCCCGTTGAAGCTATAAAAATGTTCTTATACACACAGAATCAATTTCTACATTTCTTGCCAGGTATTTTAGTGACAGCCATGCCATAGTGGACGGTCATGGACAATGCTATCCAGCAAAGCTTGTCTTGGCTCTGCTGCTGCTGCATAGCCAGTTCAGGGCAGCTGCATGACTTTAGACAAATGTCTCTCCCTGGACCCCCACCTATTGATCTATAGAAAGAAGTTGGCTTTAGAGACCTCTGAGATCCTCCTGTCCAACTCTGAGTGTACTTGTGTTTTCAGGGAGGTGAGCAAATACCAAGCCATCTTTGTCCCCTTTTTGGGCATAGCAAATAGCAGACAACTCACTGGTAGTCTTTCTCATCATGTTCAAATGGATTTTATTAGGCAACTAAAACGCAGGGCAAGGCTTCTTCCACCTTGGCACTTTGAGCACAGCAGGCCACATAACACTGTGCTGTGGGAGCCAGTCTGCTCATTGTAATGTGTTCAGCTGTACCCCTCCTGTCTACTCTCCAGACAGTAATAGTACCTCCTGTCTACTCTCCAGACAGTAATAGTACCTCCACTTCAGTCACGACAATTCAAAATGTCTCCAGACTTGGCCAGCTATTCCCTGGATGGTACAACCATCCCTGGTTGAAAAATCTCTGGTATGGAGTAACAGTTTATCAAAATAACCAAAAGGACATGCTCTTTACCTATGCAGAACTAAGATGTGAGCCAGGTGCACACAGAAATATTCACTGGTTTGCCTGGTTTTTTTTGTTTGTTTTGTTTTGTTTTTGAGACACGGAGAAAAGAAGGACCTTTGCCATGTTATGTTGACATTTGCAGTGTTTATTAGTTATTGATTATTTAGTGTGGTTGTGGGGGTGAGAGAAAGGCAAAGTACATAGATTGAGAGCTGTGAGCTGGGTATAGTCCCAGCACTAGAGAGGCAGAAACAGGCGGATCTCATAATCCACACCCATTCTGGCCTACATAGCAAGTTCAGACCAGCCAGGGCTACACAGAGAAACTCAAAAGAAGAGGGGGAGAGGAGCTATGACATCCACTTTGGAGTGACAGAGTGTCAGTAAATCTACACAGACATGATTTTAAAAAGGAATAAAAAAAAGTAGCAGAGAAAAGTCCAGGTTAAGAACAAGGTGCCCAGCTTTATTTACAACCTGTTTCCTCACCTCTTGCAGGTGTGCTCTTTTATGTCCCATTCAGAGCTTTGGATTAGGTGACACATTAACTCTTTAAAGAAAAGAAGAAAGAAAGAAAGAAAGAAAGAAAGAAAGAAAGAAAGAAAGAAAGAAAGAAAGAAAGCCAAAATGCATCAAGGTTATTTACAATGGGCCTACAATGGAGTGCTCAACTTCCTCCACACTAAAAGTAGTGTGCCCTTTGTACTGCAGTTTAGAAAGTCCTTTCTCTCTTGCTCTTCATGCAAGTGAAGAAATTTGCATAATGTAATTGAGGTGCATTATTTAATAAATGCCAAATGGAATATTTATGATCTATCTCTAAAGACATAAATTATTTAGATCTCCTGAAACCTTTCTGATCCAGGTAAAGTAGAGGCTTAGAAGGTGTTTGGAAGAGAAAACTTGTGAAGGCACAGGGAATAAGCTCCAACTTAGAAGTATAAATAAAAGGGAAGCTGTCACGTCAGAGTGTGTTTGATGTTGCCGAAGGTTTACAATTATCTTTAGTAATTAATCGCCATTCCTTTTTCCAGTCTAGACTGCCAGGTACTTAGTGGGCAGAAACACTTCTAAGTTTTGGAATTTGCCATTTCTATTGAGCTACATAGAATAGTGCAAAGCTCTTAACCCTGGTGTCCTTTAATGTAGTTGTTAAAACCTTGCTTTACCCTGGGTATCTTTAAAGTGACTATGCAGAAATGAACATGTGTTTTAGGAGACATGCTTTTAAATTCAGTGCTAGAAGGGTTTTCAAGCCTTGGAATCAAGATTATTAAGTCTTACATCTTATCTTTGGTTGACAATCTCACCAGTGTGTGTTGTTTTAGTAAAAGACTACAGGGAACAGTAACCAAAGATTACTTAGGTTACTGTTCTTGAAAAAATAATTTACATGCAAACTGAAGTTACTAATTTTATTCATATCACAGAGTAAGGTCATGATAGAACAAACTGCAGAAAATAGTCCGAGACCAAAATACCCTTGAAAACTCTTAAGAAATCTTTCTGTGTAATTATTACTACATTTCAAGTCTGAACTGGAAAAGAGGTTTTGTGGCTTGTCCTTGTGAATAAGCACTTCCCAAGGGTGGGCATGATAGTGTATTCCTGTAATCAGAGAACCCAGGAGACTGAGGTAGGAGGACTGTGCGTTCAGGATTAGCCTGGCCTACAAAGAGAGAGAACCTGTCTCATAGTAAAGAGCTAAGTTAGGCTGCACGTGACTTAGCACACTGTCACATCAGGAAATGTATGCCCTGAGTTCTGCTCTCTCAGAAGCTTAAAAGGAAGGTGTGATAGCAAGTCTATATGCTTTTTCTCTGCACTTGAACTAGAGAAATCTTTCTACCATTGTAAAACATACTTTGGGACATGAAGGAAGGTCATGGGTGTTTGGTGACGATTTTAACACAACACTGCTGCAAGGTGTCTGATATACAGAAGGGAAGATTGCTTAGACTAGTCTAAGGGGTTGCTCTTGGGACAGTAGCCTGGCTGTACTTGCCTGAGTTCAACCACAGATGTGAAATGAAGACCTTAGATGTGCTCCGTGTGTAGACACTACTGTACCTGTCCAAGAAGATGGAAAAAGAAATGGCGTGAGCCACATAAAGGCAGTTTGGTATTAATAAGAGCAATGTCCATGCTCTGTACTGATCGCATGCCTTAGATGTGGGTTGGTTTCCAGTGAGAAGTCCCAAGAGCATCTTCATTTTTTATCAGTACTGGGCAGTAGATGAGAGTGCCTGTTTAATAATGAGAGATTGTTTCTATAGGAAAGAAAAGGGAGTAGAGGATGGATCCAAGTCATCGGGAATAATGAGCAGTTACAGTACAAGAGACTGAGGCTTGAGTTGTCACAAGTTTGAGGTTAGCCCGCGCTACACAATCCAAGGGCAGCTGGGGTTATCTCCCAAGACCCTGTCTCAAAACAAAAAACAGGTAATAATAATCTCATTTTTTTTCTCAGTGTGTAAGGGATGTAGGTGTGGGCAGGGGTGTAGGTGGGCGTGTGCATGTGTGCATGTTCACATGTGTATGGGAAGGGTAGAGGTCAACTTCTGGTGTAATGTTCATCAGGCTTCCATCACCATGATTATTTGAGGCAGGGTCTCTCGCTGGGATGTGGTGATCACCCACTAAGCTCTACTGGTTAGCCAGTAAGCACCAATAATCTTCCGGCCTCTGGATTACAGTGTTTGCTGCCTCACTCAGCTTTTTACAGGAGTGCTAAGGGTCAAACTCCGATCCTCAACCTTACATGGCAAATACTTCCTCCACTGAGCTGTCTCTTCCATACCCTCATATTCTTTCTGATGCTGAGAAATCTCTTTTGTTGACTTAAAGGTTCTTTCATAATGTTGACCAGAAATTCCTAGTTGCTTTTTTTTTTTTTTTCACTCTAGTCTCTTAGTGAATTTCTTCAAAGAGTCCTTTTCCCAAGTGCTGGCTTTTGTACTTGTAGAATAAATCCCCAAGTGCTGTGAGGCCAAAAGAAGAAAGGCAGACAGATCCAGAATTTATTGGGAAATTGACATGAAGTGTGGCTCTAGATGGCAGACATACCAGCCAGACCTGAAGTGTGGGTCAGAAAAAAATGAATTTACAGAGACAAATGTGGCCATTTCAATCTAGGTTGTAATTGCTTTATCTTAAGATAATTTCTTTTTGTTTTTGTTTTTGTTTTTTTTTCCATGGGGGAGCGGGCAGGGTTTCTCTGTGTAGCTTTGGAACCTGTCCTGGAACTCTGTAGACAAGGTTGGCCTTGAACTCACAGAGATCCGCCTGCCTCTTCCTCTGCCTCTGCCTCCTGAGTGCCACCACCACCCAGCTCTTAAAATAATATTAAAGACTCAGGCACATGCTTACAGCAGGGTCTGATAGTAAGGCCTGGTGATTCCCATGGTTTTATCTGTTTATGGTAGCCTGGGAAACTATGGAGAGAAGGCCAGCTTCCTACTCAGGGGCAGTTGTGAAGGTTACAGCTGAAGATGGCTGCAGCCATGACAAGCTGGATTCATATATTGACAAAATGGATACAAGACACAGTGGCCAAAATACAACATAAGGACATGTCTGGAAAGCTTAGTAGATGTTTGTGGAATAATAATAAATCATCTGAAATCAGAAGCAGGACTAATTAGAAACCATCAGTGTTAGAGCGGGAGGTAGCAATCCTGGAAATGATAATGTGTGGAGTCAGAAAACCATTTCTAAGTCTGCAAAACTGACAGTAAGGTTTAACTTTTTTTTCACATGTATATATTTGAGAAGTTGATTAGATTAAACTTTCTGACTTGTGAATCTCCAAGCTATCTTTATGTGTTCCCTCTTGCTATCCCATGGCTGGTTCTGGAAGACTGTCTTATGTTGTTTGAGGTAGGGTCTTAGTATGTACTATGTAGCCCAAACTGGCCTGGAACTTGCAATCCCCTAGCCTCAGCCTCTTGAATCCTGGTATTGCACCATACCTTGTGATCTCAGGAAGAACAAAAGCCCTGCCTTATTTACTGTTCTATGGCTGTAAAGAGACACCATGGCTAAGGAAACTCTTACAAAAGAAAGCATTTAATTGGGAGCTTGCTTACAGTTTCTGAGGTTTAGTCCATTATTATCACGTTGGGAACATAGTGGCAGGCAGACAGGCCTGGTGCTGGAGAAGAAGCTGAGAGCTCACATCCTGATCTCTGTAGACATCAGGCTGAGAGAAACAGACAAATTTGGAAAGTGGTAAGAGACAGAGATACTGGGCCAGGAGTTGATTTTTGAAACTCCCAGTGACACACACCCCTCCAAGAAGTCCATACCTTCTAATCTTTCCAACAGTTAAATCAGCTGGGGACTAGGCATGCAAGAAACTGTGGGGGGCTATTTCCATGCAAACCACCACAACCCCTATTTCAACCTACAGGTGAATTCAAGTAGAACAGCACAGCCCACAGTGGCGAACAGGCTAGCAAAATTTTCCTGATTTAATTCATAGTCCTAGAAAAGGTATGGAATCTTTGTGAGGATCTAAACTACCAAATGAGAAGAAGATGAAGGAAGAGTAGAAAGGACAGAGAAGGGGGCAGGGGTGGGTGAAGAGGAAGAGAAGGAGGAAAAGCAGCCATGGCTATTGTCTGAACAAGATCAAGCTAGTCAACCTTCTAACAAGAGGGGGAGGGGGGAGGGAGCCATGAGTTCCCAACCCTGAGTGTTTCTGGGTAAAAGAGAGGCCGATTTTTTCTTTCTTTGTTTGTTTTTTTCTGTAAGGGAATGGCCCCTGGAAGTGGAGTACACTCCAGAGATGGACCCAAATTTAGGCGTATATGATCAACACAAACCGGACACTGTGGGTTATTTAAAAAAAAAAATGAAGACAGGAAGGGATGAGAAAGTGGTGGTGAACCCTGGAAGAGCTGGGGGGAGGAGTGGGAAGCGAATATGATCAAAATTCATTGTATGGCATTCTCAAAGAATTGAGAAAAGTATTTTTTAAAGAATATAAAAATGGGCCGGGCATTGGTGGCGCATGCCTTTGATCCCAGCTCTCGGGAGGCAGAGGCAGGTGGATCTCTGTGATTTCGAAGCCAGCCTGATCTCCAGAGCAAGTGCCAGGATAGGCTCCAAAGCTACACAGAGAAACCCTATCTCGAAAAACCAAA